CGCCCTGCTTGGTGGCAAGATAACACCACCTCCACCACCCCGCCCTGCTTGGTGGCAAGATACACCACCACCACACCCGCCCTGCTTGGTGGCAAGATAACACCACCACCACCACACCCGCCCTGCTTGGTGGCAAGATAACACCACCTCCACCACACCCGCCCTGCTTGGTGGCAAGATAACACCACCACCACACCCGCCCTGCTTGGTGGCAAGATAACACCACCACCACACCCGCCCTGCTTGGTGGCAAGATAACACCACCTCCATCACACCCGCCCTGCTTGGTGGCAAGATAACACCACCACCACCACACCCGCCCTGCTTGGTGGCAAGATAACACCACCTTCACCACACCCGCCCTGCTTGGTGGCAAGATAACACCACCACACCCGCCCTGCTTGGTGGCAAGATAACACCACCTTCACCACACCCACCCTGCTTGGTGGCAAGATAACACCACCACCACCACACCCGCCCGCCTTGGTGGCAAGATAACACCACCACCACCACACCGCCCTGCTTGGTGGCAAGATAACACCACCACCACCACACCGCCCTGCTTGGTGGCAAGATACCACCACCACCACCACACCCGCCCGCCTTGGTGGCAAGATAACACCACCACCACCACACCGCCCTGCTTGGTGGCAAGATAACACCACCACCACCACACCCGCCCTGCTTGGTGGCAAGATAACACCACCACCACACCCGCCCGCCTTGGTGGCAAGATAACACCACCACCACACCGCCCTGCTTGGTGGCAAGATAACACCACCACCACACCGCCCTGCTTGGTGGCAAGATAACACCACCACCACACCCGCCCTGCTTGGTGGCAAGATAACACCACCACCACACCCGCCCTGCTTGGTGGCAAGATAACACCACCACCATACCCGCCCTGCTTGGTGGCAAGATAACACCACCACACCGCCCTGCTTGGTGGCAAGATAACACCACCACCACACCCGCCCTGCTTGGTGGCAAGATAACACCACCACCACACCCGCCCGCCTTGGTGGCAAGATAACACCACCACCACCACACCGCCCTGCTTGGTGGCAAGATAACACCACCACCATACCCGCCCTGCTTGGTGGCAAGATAACACCTCCACCACACCGCCCTGCTTGGTGGCAAGATAACACCACCACCACACCGCCCTGCTTGGTGGCAAGATAACACCACCACCATACCCGCCCTGCTTGGTGGCAAGATAACACCACCACCATACCCGCCCTGCTTGGTGGCAAGATAACACCTCCACCACACCGCCCTGCTTGGTGGCAAGATAACACCACCACCACACCGCCCTGCTTGGTGGCAAGATAACACCACCACCACACCGCCCTGCTTGGTGGCAAGATAACACCACCACCACACCCGCCCTGCTTGGTGGCCAGATAACACCACCAACAGCGCCACACCACTACCACCATATCGCCAATTTTAAGTCACGGGTTAACACTGACGAGGCAGCGCCAGCATCGCCTTAACAACGCCAGCATCGCCTGAACAACACCAGCATCGCCTTAACAACGCCAGCATCGCCTGAACAACACCAGCATCGCCTTAACAACGCCAGCATCGCCTGAACAACACCAGCATCGCCTGAACAACGCCAGCATCGCCTGAACAACACCAGCATCGCCTGAACAACACCAGCATCGCCTGAACAACGCCAGCATCGCCTGAACAACGCCAGCATCGCCTGAACAACGCCAGCATCGCCTGAACAACGCCAGCATCGCCTGAACAACACCAGCATCGCCTGAACAACACCAGCATCGCCTGAACAACGCCAGCATCGCCTGAACAACGCCAGCATCGCCTGAACAACGCCAGCATCGCCTGAACAACGCCAGCATCGCCTGAACAACGCCAGCATCGCCTGAACAACACCAGCATCGCCTGAACAACGCCAGCATCGCCTGAACAACGCCAGCATCGCCTGAACAACGCCAGCATCGCCTGAACAACGCCAGCATCGCCTGAACAACGCCAGCATCGCCTGAACAACGCCAGCATCGCCCGAACAACGCCAGCATCGCCCGAACAACGCCAGCATCGCCCGAACAACGCCAGCATCGCCCGAACAACGCCAGCATCGCCCGAACAACGCCAGCATCGCCCGAACAACGCCAGCATCGCCCGAACAACGCCAGCATCGCCCGAACAACGCCAGCATCGCCCGAACAACGCCAGCATCGCCCGAACAACGCCAGCATCGCCCGAACAACGCCAGCATCGCCCGAACAACGCCAGCATCGCCCGAACAACGCCAGCATCGCCCGAACAACGCCAGCATCGCCCGAACAACGCCAGCATCGCCCGAACAACGCCAGCATCGCCCGAACAACGCCAGCATCGCCCGAACAACGCCAGCATCGCCCGAACAACGCCAGCATCGCCCGAACAACGCCAGCATCGCCCGAACAACGCCAGCATCGCCCGAACAACGCCAGCATCGCCCGAACAACGCCAGCATCGCCCGAACAACGCCAGCATCGCCCGAACAACGCCAGCATCGCCCGAACAACGCCAGCATCGCCTGAACAACGCCAGCATCGCCTGAACAACGCCAGCATCGCCTGAACAACGCCAGCATCGCCTGAACAACGCCAGCATCGCCTGAACAACGCCAGCATCGCCTGAACAACGCCAGCATCGCCTGAACAACGCCAGCATCGCCTGAACAACGCCAGCATCGCCTGAACAACGCCAGCATCGCCTGAACAACGCCAGCATCGCCTGAACAACGCCAGCATCGCCTGAACAACGCCAGCATCGCCTGAACAACGCCAGCATCGCCTGAACAACGCCAGCATCGCCTGAACAACGCCAGCATCGCCTGAACAACGCCAGCATCGCCTGAACAACGCCAGCATCGCCTGAACAACGCCAGCATCGCCTGAACAACGCCAGCATCGCCTGAACAACGCCAGCATCGCCTGAACAACGCCAGCATCGCCTGAACAACGCCAGCATCGCCTGAACAACGCCAGCATCGCCTGAACAACGCCAGCATCGCCTGAACAACGCCAGCATCGCCTGAACAACGCCAGCATCGCCTGAACAACGCCAGCATCGCCTGAACAACGCCAGCATCGCCTGAACAACGCCAGCATCGCCTGAACAACGCCAGCATCGCCTGAACAACGCCAGCATCGCCTGAACAACGCCAGCATCGCCTGAACAACGCCAGCATCGCCTGAACAACGCCAGCATCGCCTGAACAACGCCAGCATCGCCTGAACAACGCCAGCATCGCCTGAACAACGCCAGCATCGCCTGAACAACGCCAGCATCGCCTGAACAACGCCAGCATCGCCTGAACAACGCCAGCATCGCCTGAACAACGCCAGCATCGCCTGAACAACGCCAGCATCGCCTGAACAACGCCAGCATCGCCTGAACAACGCCAGCATCGCCTGAACAACGCCAGCATCGCCTGAACAACGCCAGCATCGCCTGAACAACGCCAGCATCGCCTGAACAACGCCAGCATCGCCTGAACAACGCCAGCATCGCCTGAACAACGCCAGCATCGCCTGAACAACGCCAGCATCGCCTGAACAACGCCAGCATCGCCTGAACAACACCAGCACCACCACCAGAGTAGAGACATTAAAATAACATGTGACAGAAGCTAACACTTATGAGACAATAGAGGTGGAAGAGGCAACAAACGATACACACAAATACACAGCCAAGAAGATGGCGACTTAACAAATTACAGCCACAGAGAATTAGCACAAGAGATAAGAGACAACACAGCAGAAAATGCAACATATCAAACTAAAATAAAAGAAAATGACATTAAGAGATGGATAAAAACACCAAACATATATATATATATATATATATATGCGAACAAGCCTGAATGGTCCCCAGGACAATATGCAACTGAAAACTCACACCCCAGAAGTGACTCGAACCCATACTCCCAGAAGCAACGCAACTGGTATGTACAAGACGCCTTAATCCACTTGACCATCACGACCGGACATAATGAGGTGATAGCCTAAGCTATTTGAACCACCCCACCGCCGGCACTCGGATAGTAATCTTGGGCATAGCATTTTACCAAATCACCTCATTCTTTGGGGCACACGTGAGGAACACAAATGCGAACAAGCCTGAATGGTCCCCAGGACAATATGCAACTGAAAACTCACACCCCAGAAGTGACTCGAACCCATACTCCCAGAAGCAACGCAACTGGTATGTACAAGACGCCTTAATCCACTTGACCATCACGACCGGACATAATGAGGTGATAGCCTAAGCTATTTGAACCACCCCACCGCCGGCACTCGGATAGTAATCTTGGGCATAGCATTTTACCAAATCACCTCATTCTTTGGGGCACACGTGAGGAACACAAATGCGAACAAGCCTGAATGGTCCCCAGGACAATATGCAACTGAAAACTCACACCCCAGAAGTGACTCGAACCCATACTCCCAGAAGCAACGCAACTGGTATGTACAAGACGCCTTAATCCACTTGACCATCACGACCGGACATAATGAGGTGATAGCCTAAGCTATTTGAACCACCCCACCGCCGGCACTCGGATAGTAATCTTGGGCATAGCATTTTACCAAATCACCTCATTCTTTGGGGCACACGTGAGGAACACAAATGCGAACAAGCCTGAATGGTCCCCAGGACAATATGCAACTGAAAACTCACACCCCAGAAGTGACTCGAACCCATACTCCCAGAAGCAACGCAACTGGTATGTACAAGACGCCTTAATCCACTTGACCATCACGACCGGACATAATGAGGTGATAGCCTAAGCTATTTGAACCACCCCACCGCCGGCACTCGGATAGTAATCTTGGGCATAGCATTTTACCAAATCACCTCATTCTTTGGGGCACACGTGAGGAACACAAATGCGAACAAGCCTGAATGGTCCCCAGGACAATATGCAACTGAAAACTCACACCCCAGAAGTGACTCGAACCCATACTCCCAGAAGCAACGCAACTGGTATGTACAAGACGCCTTAATCCACTTGACCATCACGACCGGACATAATGAGGTGATAGCCTAAGCTATTTGAACCACCCCACCGCCGGCACTCGGATAGTAATCTTGGGCATAGCATTTTACCAAATCACCTCATTCTTTGGGGCACACGTGAGGAACACAAATGCGAACAAGCCTGAATGGTCCCCAGGACAATATGCAACTGAAAACTCACACCCCAGAAGTGACTCACTTCTGGGGACCATTCAGGCTTGTTCGCATTTGTGTTCCTCACGTGTGCCCCAAAGAATGAGGTGATTTGGTAAAATGCTATGCCCAACATTACTATCCGAGTGCCGGCGGTGGGGTGGTTCAAATAGCTTAGGCTATCACCTCATTATGTCCGGTCGTGATGGTCAAGTGGATTAAGGCGTCTTGTACATACCAGTTGCGTTGCTTCTGGGAGTATGGGTTCGAGTCACTTCTGGGGTGTGAGTTTTCAGTTGCATATTGTCCTGGGGACCATTCAGGCTTGTTCGCATTTGTGTTCCTCACGTGTGCCCCAAAGAATGAGGTGATTTGGTAAAATGCTATGCCCAAGATTACTATCCGAGTGCCGGCGGTGGGGTGGTTCAAATAGCTTAGGCTATCACCTCATTATGTCCGGTCGTGATGGTCAAGTGGATTAAGGCGTCTTGTACATACCAGTTGCGTTGCTTCTGGGAGTATGGGTTCGAGTCACTTCTGGGGTGTGAGTTTTCAGTTGCATATTGTCCTGGGGACCATTCAGGCTTGTTCGCATTTGTGTTCCTCACGTGTGCCCCAAAGAATGAGGTGATTTGGTAAAATGCTATGCCCAAGATTACTATCCGAGTGCCGGCGGTGGGGTGGTTCAAATAGCTTAGGCTATCACCTCATTATGTCCGGTCGTGATGGTCAAGTGGATTAAGGCGTCTTGTACATACCAGTTGCGTTGCTTCTGGGAGTATGGGTTCGAGTCACTTCTGGGGTGTGAGTTTTCAGTTGCATATTGTCCTCAGGGGACCATTCAGGCTTGTTCGCATTTGTGTTCCTCACGTGTGCCCCAAAGAATGAGGTGATTTGGTAAAATGCTATGCCCAAGATTACTATCCGAGTGCCGGCGGTGGGGTGGTTCAAATAGCTTAGGCTATCACCTCATTATGTCCGGTCGTGATGGTCAAGTGGATTAAGGCGTCTTGTACATACCAGTTGCGTTGCTTCTGGGAGTATGGGTTCGAGTCACTTCTGGGGTGTGAGTTTTCAGTTGCATATTGTCCTGGGGACCATTCAGGCTTGTTCGCATTTGTGTTCCTCACGTGTGCCCCAAAGAATGAGGTGATTTGGTAAAATGCTATGCCCAAGATTACTATCCGAGTGCCGGCGGTGGGGTGGTTCAAATAGCTTAGGCTATCACCTCATTATGTCCGGTCGTGATGGTCAAGTGGATTAAGGCGTCTTGTACATACCAGTTGCGTTGCTTCTGGGAGTATGGGTTCGAGTCACTTCTGGGGTGTGAGTTTTCAGTTGCATATTGTCCTGGGGACCATTCAGGCTTGTTCGCATTTGTGTTCCTCACGTGTGCCCCAAAGAATGAGGTGATTTGGTAAAATGCTATGCCCAAGATTACTATCCGAGTGCCGGCGGTGGGGTGGTTCAAATAGCTTAGGCTATCACCTCATTATGTCCGGTCGTGATGGTCAAGTGGATTAAGGCGTCTTGTACATACCAGTTGCGTTGCTTCTGGGAGTATGGGTTCGAGTCACTTCTGGGGTGTGAGTTTTCAGTTATATATATATATATATATATATATATATATATATATATATATATATATATATATATATATATATATATATATATATATATATATATATATATATATATATTACGCTCGAGAAGTATGCAGACATACTGGAAATAGAAAGAGAATAGATTGCAGTTAGCCACATTCCAGGGAACTCCCTAAATTTGATGACGAGAGCTGGCAATCCAATGGTTTCCGAGTTCGAATCTCCCTGAGGAGGACAATGTAACACAATTTCCCAGATATAATTGTATCCCCACCGGTCTGTAGCCTTCGCTCTTAATCAGTAGAGTAACTCCATACGCGATACTGGCTTGATCTGACGTAAAGTCACAATAACGGGGCTGACAATTAAGACACCCAACCCACAATTCTGAAAATAAAAGAATTGAGGACGTTTCAGTCCGCCGTAGACCGTTATCAAGACGTTATCTGTTGACACTCGACCCTGCACAGGTGGCAGACAACTCTGCCTTGACTGGCTTCACTGATCCACAAAAAGACCAGCACCATAGCTCACACATTTATAAACATCACTAAAGTCTCGCACCACCACAGCCAATATGCTCTCATACAATTCCGTTCAACATAGCAGACAACAATCGAGTTTTATCCTGTCACCAGACCAGCACGAAGCGAGCCATCCGTGGCCAGCTCGCCACGACGTATGTAAATATGCTGGCATACCCAGCATATGGCATACCCAGCATATGGCATACCCAGCATATGGAGTATGGACATGTCTTATGTAAAAAAACAAAAGAATG